TCTTGATTCTGGTTGCTCTTACCACATGTGTCCAAACAGGAAGTGGTTTACTACCTACAGGAGCATTGATGGTGGAACCGTATTGATAGGGAACAACCATGCTTGTAAAACGGTGGGGCTAGGTGATATCAAAATCAAGATGCATGATGGAGTGGTTCGAACCCTGACGGACGTACGACACGTTCCCGACTTGCGGAAGAATCTTATCTCAGTCGGAGCTTTGGACTCCGGGGGTTGCAAGATTGTAACAGAAAACGGAGTGAAGAGGGTTGTTCGGGGTTCCTTAACTGTGATGAAGGGTGTTCGTCACGGTAATCTATATACTCTCTCGGGTACGACGGTGACGGGAGATGCAGCAGTTGGAGCTGAAGGAAGTGGTGGAGACCCATGTGAGCACACACGGTTATGGCATAGGCGTCTTGGGCACATGTCAGAGAAGGGTCTGGATCTGCTTGGTAAAGAGGGTTTGCTGAAGAATCTGAAAAAGCCTTGCATGGATTTTTGTGAGGACTATGTGTATGGAAAGGCGCATAGGGTTCAATTTCCGAGGAGCAAGCACAAGAGCAGAGGGATACTAGATTATGTGCACATGGATGTTTGGGGTCTGGCTTCGACAACTTCCAAGGGTGGTTCTAGATATTTTGTCTCATTCATAGATGATCATTCAAGATATGCTTGGGTTTATTTCCTGAAGTATAAGAATGAGGTATTTGAGACATTCAAGAAGTGGAAGGCGATGGTTGAGAACAGGACGGGCAAGAAATTGAAGACACTGAGATCTGATAACGGTACAGAGTATACAGACGGTGGTTTCAAGGAGTTCTGTGATCAGGAAGGGATTGGTAGACACTGGACAGTTAGATCTACACCACAGCAGAATGGGATCGCGGAAAGACTGAACCGAACACTGCGGGAGAAAGCAGTGAGTATGCGATCATATGCTGGTTTGGGCAAAGAATGGTGGGCAGAATCGATTGCTACAGCTTGCTATATAGTGAATCGATCTCCACATTCGACATTGGACGGTGATACACCCTATCGGGTGTGGTCAGGGGAGCATGCAGATTATGAGAGGCTTCGAATTTTCAGATGTACCGCCTACTATCACGTCAACGAGGGACAGCTTGACGCGAGGGCCAAGAAGGTAATTTTCTTGGGGTATGCAAAGGGCGTAAAAGGCTACCGTCTTAGGTGTATAGAAGATTCAAAGTTCATGATCAGCAGGGATGTTACCTTTGATGAGAAGTCCATGATTGCTAGGGTGCCCAAAGATGGTGGTGTTGATACTATCGGGACTCCCGAGTCCTAGGTTATTGAGATAGAACCGAAAGACCAACCAGGTTCTAGTCGTGTTCAAGTGGGAAATCAGGCAGATGCACTATAACAACAGCAGATCGAGGATAGCTTGACTTTCACTAGGCCAAGGCGAGTATACAAGCAGGTACAGAAGCTGGGGGCTGATCAACCCCTGAAGCACTATGGGCATGTTAATTTGGTTGAGTACGCACTCTCGGTGGAGGAAGATGAGCCGGTCTTCTTCAAGGAAGCTATTCAAGACAAGAATAGTGAGAGTTGGTTGGCTGCGATGGAGGAGGATATGGAATCTCTCCGGAAGAACCAAACATGAGAGGTGATCCCATTGCCCGTAGGAAAGAAAGCTGTAGGTTATAAGTGGCTGTATAAAAGAAAGGAAGACCCTTCAGAGCTCGGTGGAACGAGGTACAAGGCAAGGCTAGTGGCTAAGGGGTTTGCACAAAGAGAGGGTGTGGATTACAATGAGATATTTTCTCCGGTGGTAAAACACACTTCTATTCAGGTGCTACTGAGTATTGTTGCTCATGGTGATCTTGAGCTGGAACAACTCGATGTCAAGACGGCCTTCTTGCACGGAGACTTGGATGAAGAGATCTATATGCATCAACCTGAGGGATACAAGGTTGAGGACAAGGAGAATCATGTATGTCGCTTGAGGAAGTCACTCTATGGATTGAAGCAATCTCCTCGGTAGTGGTACAAGCGATTTGACTCCTTCATGCTGAAGCATGGGTTTTCCCGAAGTGACTATGATTGTTGTGTTTACATTCGGAAGCTTCGTGGAGGTGATTATATCTATCTCCTTTTATATGTGAATGACATGCTTATTGCATCGAAGAACAAGGTGGAGATAGATAAGTTGAAATCTCAACTTAGCAATGAGTTCGAGATGAAGGACATGGGCACTGCTAGGAAAATACTGGGTATGGAGATTAGAAGAGAGCGGACGAATCGGCGATTGTTCTTGAGTCAGAAGGGCTACATAGAGCGGGTGATCGCGAGGTTTGGAATGCAAAGTGCTAAGTCGGTGGTAACTCCATTGGCTCAACACTTCAGGCTTTCAGGTAAACAATCTCCTACTACAGCGGAAGATAAGGCACACATGGAGCGTGTTCCCTATGCTAGTGCAGTTGGCAGTTTGATGTAAGCAATGGTGTGTATACGCCCTGATATTTCACAGACGGTTAGTGTGGTCAGCAGATTCATGGCGAATCCGGGAAAGGCGCACTGGGAAGCGGTGAAATGGGTCTTGAGGTACTTGAAAGGTACCGCGGATACGGGTCTGTATTTTGATGGAGATACATATCAGATCGACGGGTATGTGGACTCAGATTATGCAGGCGATCTAGATAGACGACGATCTACTACTGGTTATGTATTCAGAATACATGGAGCTCCAGTTAGTTGGCGATCGATGTTGCAGGCTACAGTGGCACTTTCTACAACAGAGGCCGAGTACATGGCTTAGGCGGAAGGAGTGAAGGAAGCATTGTGGCTGTGGGGCCTTCTAGACGACTTGGAGATTGAGCAGAAGAGCGTGAACCTGTGGTGCGACAGTCAAAGTGCGATTCACTTGGCGAAGAATCAAGTTCACCATGCTCGTACCAAGCATATCGATGTCAGGTATCATTTTGTGCAGGATGTCATAGAGGAAGGAGATATTTCTCTCATGAAGGTGCATACGAATGAGAATCCCGCTGACATGTTAACCAAGGTGGTCACAGGTAGCAAGTTCCAGCATTGCTTGAACTTGCTTCATATCAGTCCGTGTTGATTTGCCCAAGAGGGCATTGCCCTGCGGGGCGGTGATGGAGGTGAGGTGGAGACTATGTTGAAGAATAATTGCAGAACTACGGTTAGCTTGATCCCGGTGGAGGGTACGTAGGCAGTCGCGGTATAGTGACGCAGCTGATTTGGCCTGGTTTGGCCTGTATATCTCTCTGGTGGAGTTCGCAGGGGTTCTTCTGGTGTTCGTTCAAAATTTAAGGTTTATCAAATGATGAACGAGGTGGAGAATTGTGAACGCAGGGGATGAGAGGGCCCACCCACGTGGGTTTCGTGGGCACATGAGCACGCAACCGCGCCGCCTGCGCACGTCTGCTAGCCCACGAATCGAGCGCACAGGCTCGTATCCCATCTCCGCACGTACGAGCTCGCAAGCTCGTGGTCCCAGCTTCTGTTCGCGCCCACACCCACGTTTCCGCGCCGTTTCCCGTCGCGTCAGAGCTCGTGCTCGAGCTCTCGTTCTTTCCGCGCGCGCTTCTTATTCCCGCGCGTTCAGCCCGCTAAAGTTTTGGATTTCCTCCTATAAATAGGAGTGGTGGTGTGGTGGTGTGGGGAAATTAGTGTGGGGGAAAATTTAAGTGTGTTTTGTGTGGAGTTTCTTTTGAGAGAAAAGAAAGAGTGAGTGAGAGAGAATTTGTAAGAATTTGGTATTCTCCTCATAGTGAAACCCTCCTCCCGTGGACATAGGCTAGTTTGCCGAACCACGTAAAATCACGTGTTTGTATTTGTCTTATCTGTGAGTTGCCATAGCTTGTAGGTTCCCTCGATATTTCAGTCCTTGAACTGATGAGAGGAAGAGTGTATATTTCACTTTGATGAAATATATCACTTTTGATTCTTGTTTCCTTTGAGAAATAAGAATTTCATTATCTATTCTCGTTTCCTTTGAGAAACAAGAATATAGAGATTGACTTGTGCTTTTGTGACAACAATAGCCAGGGCTCTCTCTATCAGGTGATATCGCTTCCGCTGCGGTGGGCGTGACTCCGCCCCAACAGCTGGACTCTCTAAACCTTATAGAATCATTTGGAACATACTCATGTCTTCTTCTTAAAACCCGCTTTGAATTTGCAGTCAACAGGATTTGAACTTGATTTGCTCTTATATCATTTTAAAGTGTCACTACACCAAGACTTCGAAGTTGTGGTAAAGTTTAAGAGATAAATTTTATGTTCTAACATTAAAACAAAGAACCATAAAAAAAGGTAATTCCCTTATCTACACGCCTTACTTGAATCGAACTGAGGGAAAAGAGGCTAGTACTAGATCAGATATGGCATTAACTGCAGTTTAATTTGTTCCCGTGTAGTAAAATGAAAAAGGAACCACCTTGAAGATAAATCATTGAATTTGGATCCTCTCCACTACAAAAAAGTAACAGAGAGACCACTACTTTTATTCTCAATCGTTGATTACTTAATAGGAGGTTATGATACAATCTAAATCTAACACTTACCATACCCCGTGTATTGCACTCATTCCTAATTTGCACTAAAAGAAAAAATCACAACCACCAACTAGATAATTAATGGTTGTGATTATGTAGTGGTCCATCCACTACTTTTTAGATAGTGGAGAGGATCCGTAGATAGTGAAGATGATCCGAATCCTAAATCATTGGTATATCCTGTACAATAGAACTATTGCACTAAAAACACAATTAAAAGACAAGATGAAAACATAAACATTGATGGTTGAGATAAAACCAAAGTTTTCGCTATACCTTGACAGCAAATCATGGGTCCCATGTAAGACCCTTGTTGGCTGGGGGTAGAAAAACGTAGGCACAGAAAGGGAAAGCATTTATTACATTGTTGGCTGATACAGTGGCCATATCCGTTTGCATATATAATTGAAATGAGACTAGAATCTTTTGCTTACCATTTATTCTGGATGCATCAGTTTACACCTTGAAAAATCTTGTCAATATGCTAGTGCTTGCATCACCCATGATCTCATATATTGAACGACTCGTCAAAATTTAGGCGAGCTATCCTATATAATCACTGCACGAAAATTTCCCACTCTTTAGTCCAAATATCTATTTGAGAGATTTGCTTGCAGGAAGAAAAATGGGTTACGTTGGTTTGATTCTAGGATCTTTAGGTGCGATAATCATCACAATTCTTTGGAGGGAATTGCTGATTCTAGTATGGAGGCCTTATGTTATAACAAAGAGGTTCAGGAAACAAGGGGTTAATGGGCCTAAGTACAAATTTTGGTCAGGTTGTCTTGAGGAAATAAGAAGTTTGAAGAAAGCTGCAAGGGATACAGAAATGGATGTCCACTCTCATGATATAATTCCTAGAGTTCTTCCTCATTATTTCAAGTGGATGAATCAATATGGTAATTTTCTCCGTCTTCTTTGTTCCCTTAAGGTTTTTGAAAAAAATATGGTTAAGTGCCAATTTGAGTTTGTTTTCTTGACAGGAGGAAGGTTTTTGTACTGGATTGGATCAAATCCGAGGATTTGTATAACTGATGCAGAGCAAGCTAAGCAAGTTCTATCGAACAAGTTTGGTTTTTATACGAAGATCAAACCGAATGGACCCGTCTTGGCTCTTTTGGGTAGAGGATTGGTTTTGACTGATGGCTCCGACTGGGCCAGACACCGGAGAGTTGTTAGCCCTGCTTTCACCATGGATAAGCTCAAGGTTAGCTTCCTCTAACCCCTTGTTCTGTTGCAGGCTATGATTGGATATATTAATGACCCTTATGTTGTGCCAAAACTCGAAAGTTGTGAGAATTGAATGTTTAACTTCAATAATTCAATAATAAGGCCCCGGATTGAGCTCTTTATCGGCTGAAAACTAGAGTATTTTATGTGGTGGTAATTTTTTCCGCTTTAAATGCTTGTGCGGTGTAATTTTAACCTGGTTTGCTCTATAATACCATCTTCAAGCCCTTTTTGGCACACCGAAAACTTCAAAGTTGTCGTAAGAATTGAATTATAGTCTAATATGTCCCTCACGGAGTTGTTAGATTGCTTTATGTAGCAGTATTATTCTTAAATCCGCTTTAAATGTGTGTCTAGATGGATATGGGTTGCTATGATTATCTTAAAGTCCCTTCTAGTGCACCAAAACTTTGAAGATGTGGTGAAAGCTGAGGGGTTTTTTTATTCTCTTATCAGAATGTACCTAAGTGACATTCAAATGGCACCGAATCACAGCTTTTGATTTGCAGATCATGGTAAAAAAAATGGCAGAATGCACAGAATCCATGCTAGATACTTGGCATGATCGGATGGTTCGAGCGGAATCAATCGAGGTGAACCAACAGTTTCAGGAGCTAACAGCAGATGTCATCTCTCATGCTGCATTTGGGAGCAGCTACATCGAGGGGAAAGAAGTGTTTTTGGCACAGAAAGAGCTCCAGTTTCTCGTCCTAGCCAGTATGCTCAACAGACCCATCCCCGGATACAGGTAATTTTCTCTTCGATAACAATTGGTTGATGACTGATGATGTATTGCAGGGTGGTATATGATTTCTGACAAATTGTGTTATATTTACAGTTATCTTCCTACAAAGTTGAACCTCAAGAAATGGGAACTTGAAAGAAAAATGAGAAACGCACTACTCCGCATTATAGATAGCAGGTTAAGTTCCAAGGGCTCAGGCTACGGTAATGATCTACTGGGCATAATGTTGGAAGCCACTCAGAAGCAAGAGGGCATGCAGTTGAACACGAATGAGATCATCGACGAGTGCAAGACTTTCTTCTTCGCTGGACACGAGACAACATCCCACCTACTAACATGGACTGTGTTCTTATTGAGCACAAACCAAGAATGGCAAGAGAAGTTGAGAGAAGAAGTAATTAGAGAATGTGGTGTAAAAGTTCCCAATGCCGATAACTTGACCAAGTTCAAATTGGTAATACTAATCGAACAACATGAAAATCTTCAAATGTTTTTTTTGCTGGTTATCTGATTATGGCCTTTTGCAGGTGACCATGGTTCTAATGGAAGCTTTGAGACTTTATTGTCCAGTTATCATGATATTAAGGCAGGCTGCGAAGGATATGAACTTGGGAGGTTTTATGATACCCAAGGGAACTTCAGTGACAATTCCCTTTGCGATCATTCACCTGAGCAAAGAGCTCTGGGGCGATGATGCAAACAAGTTCAACCCGCTAAGGTTTGAGAACGGGATCAACAAAGCTGCCAAGCATCCAAATGCGCTGCTCGCGTTCTCAATGGGGCCAAGAGCTTGCGTCGGTCAGAACTTCTCGATGCTGGAAGCGAAAACAGTCATTGCCATGATCCTTCAAAGGTTCTCATTCTCTCTATCTCAGGAATACAAGCACAAGCCTGCAGACTTGCTTACATTACAACCTCAGAATGGGCTTCCCATTGTTTTCAAACCTTTGGTCACTGAACGTGCGGATGCATCCAATTAGTAAGGAACATGCAAATTACGATTGGTGTTTAGACACCTTAAATGAAAAGTTTGATGTTCATTTCAACTGGGATATTTATATGTGAGTATGTATTTACATTGGAAGAGAAGCATGTAAAATGTCGAACTTGAATTGAAAGTTGGGATGTAGAGGTAGAGGGTTTGGTTTTTGTGTCAAAGTCATCCTCAGCCTCTATTCTAGATCCATATTAAGTTTGATTCTACGTGATCTCAGCAAGTGAATGTTTCTCTGTTTAATTTTTCTTGCTTTATGGGCGTATGGATATAATTTTTTTTACCAATTTATAAAAGAATTACACCTCTTTCATATTAATATTTGTGTACTACCATTTTGTTTAGAGTTTGAGCAATAGTTCACTAGCATTATAGCTTGTGTAATCAGTTGTTACCAATTGTTGGGCGCAGAGTCACGCCCACCGCCGCGGAAGCGATATCACCTGAGAGAAAGCCCTGGCTTTTGTTGTCCCAAAAAGCAGCAAGTTCAACCTCTGGTAATTCTTGTTTCTCAAGGAAACGCGATATAGATAATGAAATTCTTATTTCTCAAAGGAAACAAGAATTGAAAGTGATATATTTCATCAAAAGTGAAAATATACAACCTTCCCTGCTCAATACAGCCTAAGACGCGATTTTGAGGATCCTACAAGCAATAGCCAACAAGCGCGCAGAAAACATAAATAGCAAACGAGATTTACGTGGTTACGGCAAACTGCCTACGTCCACGGGAGGGGTGAGGGGAAGATTTCCACTATAGTAGGAGATAACACCGGACGACGTTGTACAAATCCACAAGCTTCGTCCTCAAAGATCTGATTTTTTTACGCCAGATAAGAAAAATAACCTCTCATTTCGTAGAATCTCTGCTTTTCTCTCCTCTCAGATCTGCTCTTATCTCTTCTTTATCTTTTCCTCCTTAAATCTCTCGCGATGCCGCCTTTTTCCCCTGTTGCTTGACTGCACCGGTCTAAGAGAAAATTCCCCACACTAGAAAACCGCTAAGGGACCAATAGATATTAATAGGATAGAGACTTGGGCCTTGACTTTGACCTATCCTGCATGGAAGCCTTGGCTTGTATCCGTTAGGTTTGGGCTTTGTAGCCCGCTGGTTGATTTGTCCTCTTACCCATTCACGTGCCTTGCAATTTGCCAGGCTGTCCCACGCGTTCACAATTCTCGACAACCTCGTACATCATTTGATAAACCCAATTATGGACGAATACGCAGAAAGAACTCACCGTATTAGCGAATTCACAGCGAATTCTTAAAGGATGCTGAACACCCAAACCACAGGCCAAACCAGCTAGGCGCCACTATACCGCGGCTGGCCTACGTACCCTCCACCGGGATCAAAGCTCACCGAATGTTCAGATATTGTTCTCCATGCATAGTCTCAACCTCACACCATCACCGCCGCCGAAGGGCCATTGCCCCTCTTGGCAGTTCAACCGGGTTGATAGTGAAGCAAGTCCAAGCAATGCTTAAACTTGCTTAACCCTGTGACCACCTGGTTACTAACATGTCTGGCGGGATTCTCATTCGTGTGGCACCATCTCTTATGAGAGAAAATATCACCTTCCTCTATGACATCGCGCCGCACAAAATGATACCGTGACATCGGATATGCTTGGTAGGGCGAGCAATGAAATGAACTGATTCTTCGCCAAATGAATCGCACTTTGACTATCAATACCAGTTCTGGTACCACCCCACAAGTTCCAGTGCACAGTATTTAGGCCTCTTAACTGTCACGCACACGGGGCCCAAATCGTCCCGATAGATCTCCGGAATTTGAGTTATATTAGACCATTGCCGTTTAACAACAGACACAAATGCAGACTGCCTTCAAACACGGACCTTAACATGCGCCAGTACAACTTTTTCGGTCCGTCTTTCTATGGTAGTTAGTTATATAAAGAATTGTAACACAGCCGTAGGCATCTGCAACTTATGGATCAACGAATAGATCGTCACTGTGTTAAGCGAGCCGACAACTAACTGGAGCTGCACATGTCATCCCCTAAATACATTAACCAGTAGTATAAATTGGTACTCGAGGATGTGAGACCAGAGTCGTTCGTCGTCATCCATTTTCCTTAGCATCAAGCCGGGGTGATGCCGCTAAATAATCAGACGCTAAACACAATACTCCTCCTACGAGGTTGGACAATCTTTGGGAATGGCTGATCATAGTATTCACATCCGATGCAAGTGTAGAACCAAAAACTGAATTAGTATCCATGAATAAAGATGTACACTGCAGAGTATTTTCCTTTTTTTTGCAGGATTTGTTTAATCACTTAGAATCATAAAAAACCTACAGCTTATGGGATTCAGGAAAGTCCCATCTTCAACCTCGCTTCCGCCAGTGCGCCTTTCCCGATTCGCCATGAACCTGCTAGACACACTGACTAACTGGCCTGCTGAAAAATGATCAACTGGGCGTGTACACGACCATAGGCTACTATCAATTTTATTTTGTGCGAGCCGGCCCAACCTGCACTATACCAAAAATAAGGGAACCGACCTTTTCCCGGCAGCTCCGACATGTTGTTTTGCCGGGCTTAGACTCGTCATTCCGCTGTAGTGGGAAGGGATTTCGATTTATCTGTCACATGCAAAGCCTGCAGTGTGGAGCCAATGGAGTCGCCACCTTCGAAATTGGGGCTCATAATTTCCCTCATCGACCACTCGGAAAGGGTGGAATCAAGGATTACGTGGAAAGATATAGAAGAACACTCTATAATTTGTCTTTAAGTTTTTTCAGAATCAATAATATCATGGAAAAAATGTCACTTCTTTTGTATGAGCTACCGAAATGATGCTCGGCAGCCTTGAGAGCCAGTTCGTACCACGATCCTTAAGCAACGTTGTCTAATTCTCTCTGACAATCCATGCGCCTTGTAACTCTACGTGCCCGCTCTATCCGATATATCGTCCCCCTGGAATTAAGTGATTGACTTCACAAAGAATCAATCACGAGCACCGATTTCGAATAGGCGATGCCACCACATGGTGTGCGGTGAGTCATCTACATCAATAATACTCTCACATACTCGACGCCCTTTTGGCAAAATACAATTCCTAGTGGGGGGTGCAGGTGTATTTTTCTAGCAGCGCGCCGATGGGTCCTTCATTCTGCGAACTCTTTACTTTAACATAGGTTTGAGGGGGGGAAAAAGAAAAATTTCTAGGACCTAGTTTGTCTACATTTCGCGGTGTTCCAACCACCTTTTGGACATCGTACGGCTTGCTGATTCATTTATATAATTTCGTTACTTAGAGGTGATAGGAAGCATGCAGGCTATTTGGAGTTGTCGGTGAAGCGTGTGGGCCCGACTTAGTAGGTGGCTGATGACCGCCGCCATGCTCTTAGAAGGCAATAAGCATGGCTGCAGTACACTATGAGGCAATGAAGGATGAGCATAGATTAGACTAGACGCAGGCGGTCCCCAACTTATGAAAGGATGTGTCCCGAATGTAGAAAGCTGCCGGCCGAGCAATCGTAAGCGAGCTTCCCCACTTGGTTTACATGCGATGCAATGTCCCATTGCTTCAGGACATGCATAGGAAGTCAACACACCAATCCGCTTTCTATGTCAACGCCGGATCTCCTCCTTTAATCGGTTCACTGTTGACATCAGGATATACCTATTGATTTGGATAATCATTCATCATCTTCTTCTCCGGTCTGATACGTGGCATCGAACCTATAGTAATTTTTGACGCCTACAGCACACCGAGGAGATTGCACTTTAGTTCCAAAAGTAGTGTTTACCTATGCTCCGCTCTAATATGCACGACATGAACACCATGCACTTACTGCCGTGAGCGGGAGGGCGCGGGAGCGGCTCGAGGTGTGTGATGCTAGTTTAGTATTCTCTTCATTGTGACTCTATATCTCTTGGCGAAGAGGAAATAACTGTTGGATGTGATAACGCGTTTTTAACATCGAGTTGTTCCAGCTCAAATTACGTCATCAGAGCCTATACACAATACTTCCGAAGATATGTGAGCTTGGAAAAGACCTTATAATGGCTTTAGTGTCTGCATTTCTTTATTTTTAGTCTGAATATCAGAGTATTATATGTCGGATGATTTAGTCGAACGCACTTCGAGGAAGGAATAAATGAGCCTCTATATTGTACTACTCGCGCACACCCTCCTCTTTGTGCAAGACTTGACACGGCCTCGAAATTAGCGAATCTTTAGTGTATGTTTTTGAATATTCATGCCTCGTGTCATTAGTCGAGTTGACTGATTATTTTTGGTGTAGAGGAACTTCCACTATCTGAATTACAATGAAGCCTCTACTCCTAGGATGCACCTCCTTGATCCTGGCACAATTGGACTCCGAGTACTTGTTTTGGAAAGCTCTTCGAATCAGGAAAATTGCGTTCCACGTGGTCTCTTATTATAAAGCCAAGTTTTATACTCATATGCTATCTTGAGTCCCATACTTAACACGACACATTAAATAAAGATTTTACAGACGTTGTCTCTCTACGAGGGCAATGGGAGCCGTCCCAAATGCTGGGTGCTGACCTGCTACGAGGTAGTCTTGCGATACCTATTTAATAGCTCGATCGAAGATCGTAATTCCCAGTCATGTCTCATCGATCTACTCCCCTCGAACTTTGGGTCCGCGACCAATCCTTCATTTCACATACGAGCATCTCACTCCAACCTAATCGGAGCATGGCCACGAATAGCGTTCCTTGAAGGAGACGCGCCTTCAAATTGGAACCTTCTCCACTCATTAACAGACAGGGCGCATTTTTAGCAAACATCCGAGACGAATGTCAGAGCGCTGATTCATATCACGGAGATCTTTTATTCTATAATTAGCCCGAGGGTTACTCTCTGCAGGGGTTGATCAGGCTGTGAGTCGGCACCTACCACAGATTTTGGTTTAAGTCTGTCGTGCTGATGTCACCAGCTTCCGGTGTATGCTAAACACGTAGGCTTATATGTTCTTTTAGTATGCACCTAATTGAAGCTCGTTTCACCTTAGTATGGCCTTCGTACTTTCGCTGGAAAGGAAAGCCAAAAGTGAAATTATCAGGGATGTTGGGTGGTGAGGTCTGTGCACTGTTGTTTGGGCGCATTTTAGAAACTTAGTCGCTTCTTCTTGAGGATTCGGTGATCATCAAGTCGCTAGGACTCTGGGATGGACTGGTATAGTGAATTTTACTACCCGGCTTCCGGATGAAAAGACCTAAAACCCTGGGCATATCACG